CCCAGCGCGCCTCGTTCATGCGCACCCGATACTCGCACACCGCCTAGCCCATCGTCCTTCGCGCGCATCATCCACCTAGCATCCACCCTCTGCGCGCCACTCGATGCTCTAGCCTCCAAGCGATGCGCGTGCCGTTCTCTCGCGCATGCCTTGCACCACTCACTCATACATGCAGTCCATTCATCTTTTTCTCGTGCACTCGCCATGCGGCGCTTCTTCCTATTTCTAGTCTTGCGCCTCTTGGTGCGTGTTCGTGCCCTTTTCCCACAGCCTCTAGGCCAATCTCGCTTATACTCGGGCCAGTATTCTTAGTCTTGCGGCTCCTCTAGTCCACTTTCGAGCCACATCTCGAGGTTATTTGAGAACTCTTCCTCGGGCTCGTTAGGGTCGATGACCACATCTTCATCATGGGTGTCCGGCGGCGACGGCCGGACATGACCTGGTCTGACCGGTCGGACCCCATGTTTTTTATATTTTTTTTAAATGATATTATTAGATATTATTATTATGTTATAGATTTTAAATATTTATGTTATAAATTGGACATTAGATATTATCGTGTTAGGAGTTAGAAATTATTTTGTTATAGATGCGAAATAATTATGTTATAAATTGGACGTTAGATATTATCGTGTTAGGAGTTAGAAATATTATGTTATAAATTGGACGTTAGATATTATCTTGTTAGGAGTTAGAAATTATTAGGTTATACATTATACTTGATGATTGGTCTACTCTCAGATCTAGAGTGAACAAGTGGAAGTGAGCCCAGATATGTCTAAACCGCGAAAATACCTGCAAAAACTCAACGCCGGAAGGGTTTTCAGCGTAGAGCCTCCGACGCTCAAGTCAGTGTGTGAGAGAGATGAAGAGAGCTGCTCTGAGGGAGCAGCAACAATGGAGGAGAGTATAGAGTGAATGGGAGTTAGGGTTTGGGGTACCTCAGCTCCTTTATATAGAAGCAAAACATTTACCTGAAGTTCCCAAAATGTCCCGGCCGACTTACTGTAAATGTTCAAAATACCCTGGTCGGTTCGCATTTCTTCCATCTCCTAGTCAGTATTCACATTCCTTCTTATCCTTAATAGCTTCCTTATGATATGTTTGAAGTATACCGAAGTCGTCGGAGATCTATGAGCCTCGAGACGTCCTAAGTCGACTCGGGGTATCAACTCGAGTCGACCTGGGTCATCCTCAATCGTCAGTAGATCCTGATGCGCCTGTCCATCTTTCTGATGGGAGTCGACCTCTGCTAGTCGACATCTGGAGGTTAACTAAGAAAGACATTCGGATCCTGACAGACCGAAGATAATACAAGTCCACAGGAAGAATCGACTTCGAAGAAGTCGACTCAATAACATCTGAACCGTTATACGACAGTATGGCTATATCATCCAGTCCCCCCAAAGACTACTCGAAGCGATTCTGAGCTTAAGAGTAAATTTGTTGATTGAGTAATTAGCCTAAGCCTTTTCGCATATTGTTTTTTACTATACATGTCTCCTGGGATTGATCTCATTTCTTCTCGACCGATTTCCTTGTTCCTAATCTCTTCATTTGCTCCTCGACTCGCGGGTAGCTCTTTCGCTTTACTTGTACAAATTCCCATATTGGTTGGATAAGCTCAGTTTTCCTTTCAGATTTTAAAATTCGAATAAGGTATGGAGTCTGACAAGACATTTCTCTCTCCACCGCTTCGTATTCTGTGCGCCATCTCAACCATCGGATCTGCCTTTAATATGAGGGCTAGGGTTACTCTGCTTCTTCTATAAGTATCGTCGCCCTCCTCCTTTTCTCACTTTTAGCACCTCTGATCTCCCAAACTCTCTTTTTCTCCCCGACAATAAAAGCATCATCAGCTCCCGCCGTTCGCTTTCTTTTTCCGGCGTTCTTCTCAAGCTTTTCCAGGACTCCTCCGACCATCATTATGTGTAAGTTTTTTCCTTCGCTTTTCTATTTCTTGTTATGTGCGATTTTTTTGTTTTCTTGGTGATGTTTTTAAGACTCATGAGTTCATCGGATTTTCCGAAATCTTTAGAGGATTTTCTGGCGATTTTTTTCTTGTTAGATCTTTAATTGTGGATTTCTCATTTCTCCAAGTGTTTTCGTTTGCCAGTCGATTTGATATGAGAAATCGACTTTTCTGCTTCTCCACGAGTTAGTTAGCCATCGACTTGTCATTCTTATGTCAAGTCGAGCGGATCAAAAACGACATGCTCCACTCATTTCCTCCTTTATTTTGTTTCTCTATCGGGTCGTATCGCGCGTTTTCCTCGTCTCTTCATTGACTTTTTTCTTTTGAAGTCGAACCGCGGTTGTAATTATCCACATCTATTGATTGTCGTTCTCTTCTCTCTTTTTTTACATTCCGACTCCTATCCCGTTTCTGGATCTCTTGCCCACAAAATCAACAACCACTCGAGCTCCGATTCTGTACAAATAATCTCTGTCGGACCGAGTGCCGGCCTAAATGTCGATCCAGAGAACTCTGTTCATTCCGCCGCCTCATCTTTCGGAGTTGACTGGGATGTGTATAACCAAGCATTGCTATCTGGCACACTATACGAGGACCCTGAGGCCTCTCATACTCCAAGGTCTCCTCGACTTAGCCTAATCCCTCGAGGTATCCCCCTTACGCTGCTAGATACCCCCGTGTATAGAACAAGTCCTGTACATTCATTAATAATAGCTCCTTCAGTCGAGCCTGTAACTTTAGTCTGTCCTATAGCGAAGTTAGCTGTTCTTAACCCCTTTTGTTATGCCCCTGCAACCGAAATCGATGGCTTTAGGGAATACGGTGGCCTTCCTTCCGATTGGGCGTTGGTTGTCCCTACACCTGCTGACAACTTCAAACATCCTCCTCGCGGCTGTTTCACCTTTTTTGTAGATCAAATAATGTATGGGCTGCGTTTCCCGATTCAACATGAGCTGCTGTCGTTGAGCAACCTATACGATGTGCTAATAACCCAGTTCACCCCTAACTCTATCTGAGTAATGGTCGATTTCATAATCTTCACCCGAGTAGTTTTAGGTAGCTTTGTACCCAATTTTTTCCTTTATTGTTACGGGTATAGGTTTAGCAAAGACGCCCATTGTCTGGGTCGTCGTGTAGGTGTATCCTTTCTTGACGACCTTTCTTCCAACATTACTGAATGGAAGAAGAAGTATTTCTTCATTCGACCTGCTCCTGGTCAGTATCCTTTCACAAATGAGTGGATCACCAGCAAGAAAAAACAATGCAAGCGTCCCAACTCTTCGCAATTTGCGGCTATGCTGGAAGAGTTGAATAAGCACACATGGAGTGCTCGTCGACTGACTAAGGATAGCTCCCTTCTTAATCATGTTGGGATTGGTGTTGACAAAAGTATTCCTCGACTCAGTGATCCTCGTAAGCTTCTCACTTTCAGCCTATCTCGACTTACTACCCGTCATATGATGGCTTATCTCCCTTTTTTTTATTTGTTCGGTGCATATGTGGCTTATATATTTTACTTGTATTGATCTTTTTCCATGT